CCAAGCCTCTGTGATGGGCAAAGAGCAGTGCTTTTGGGGGCGCGGGCTCCAGCTACTGGGCCCTCTGACAGCTTCCCGGGAGAACGCTGGCTGGCTGGCTGGCGGTGAGGGGAGCATAGAAGCTTGAAACCTTGGAGGTCTCGGGGTGAGCTTGAGGGGTCTGCGCTCTTTGTGTGTATGTGTTGGGTGGGGGAACAGAGTTAGGGTTGACGGTGACAGGCGTCAGGCGCGGAGATCGGAGAAAGAGCTCTAAGACTTAACAGGCTTGGCGATCAAAATGGGCTAGCTGCTCTGGCTGCCCTTGCGAGGAAAGTTGAAAGTGTGTGAAGGTCTAACTTCTGAGAAGAACCGGACGAATTTGGTTGGAGTGGGTGCTTGCGAAACCCGCCCCGCCTGGAGCGCAGCCTCAGTGATGCCAAGTTGCAGCCGGGTTGAATTTTTTATGGCTCGGTTATAAATGCCTCCCCAAATGGGCCAGAGAATGGAAATGCTGACAGCCGTTTAAATGAGACCTAGCGCTATAATCTTACAAACCGCACTCAGCCTCAGATCCTGGGCTTGGCAGGGAGTGGAGAGGCTCTTGGAGAGTGGGGTGGATTGACCCTCATTTTAACCCCAATTGTGCAACCAAATATTTACTTTTCATATGTCAACGTTTTGGAAACATTTATCATTTTGATCCTCAGACCAAATTCAGAACTTGGACTCTGGGTGGGCTCCCTGCAGCCCACAGTTGGGGGCAGGGTGGGGAAAGAGGGTGAAGGAGTGGAGGGAGTGGGAGCCCTCCTGGAACCGAGGAGAGGAGGCAGTGAGTGAGGGTTTGCTACAGGCACCCTGAAAGTCCTGCTCCCTCTCTTCCCCTTCCTCAGCAGCAGAGCGGGTACTGGACCTGCCTCTGCCTTCTGACTCGGGGCTAGGAGAGTGGTGATGAGATGAACGGTCCCTAGAGTGCCGGTCCCCATTCTTCACCTCTGCTGCTTACTTTTTGTGCCCGGGGAGAGACTCAGTAGAAATCCCTACCATATTCCTGGTGCTTTCTTTTGGCTCAAAACTTTTTTTTTTTTAAGTTTTCAAGTACAGCAGTTGTTCTTTGAGGTTGAGCTGCACCTTCAGAAAAGGTCAGAGCTCTGTCTTCATTGACACATGTAGAACATCGGTCTGGGAGATGTGAAATGAGCCACCCAAGGAAACATCGCAAGTTGGCGATGATAAAGGAGGATTTCTGCACCTCAGTTCAGATATTGTATCAGACCATTCAGTGAAAAACCCCTTTGGTGGTATTTTTCAGACACTTATAAACTGAGTTTCCCTCCTCCTTACACTAACCCTGGCTGGAAGAGTTAGTAAAGTAATAACATAGCTAATGTTTAATAAATGCTTCTCCTGCCTTGATCTGTGTCTATGTGTTATCTCCTTAAATTTCTACACAGTCCTATTAGTTACATGGGGAAGTGCTTATTACTCCACCTTGTTGTGTGTTCAAGGTCATGCAGTGAGTTAAATGTTTGAATCCAAGCCTACCTGGCTCCTAAACCCACACCCCTTACCACTCTGCTGACTCCTTAGGAAAAGGGCCAGATTGGGCCACAATCTGTAAACAGACCATTCTGGGAGATTCTCCTTGAGCTTGGGTCTCAGCAGAGGCTGCTGTCCCCACTGCTTTGGATGTTCCCTGCAAACATTCAGCTCACTTTGGCACGGGCTTTGTGGCTTGGGCCTGGAGACTGCTCTTTGCCTATCTTAAAATCAAGTCACATTTTTGGGACACCCAGGAGAAAGGGCCCCTGTACGCTTGAAGACTGTGTTTTCAAAAGCTTCGGGCAAGGCAGCTAGCGTGCTACCTGGCTGCCCTGCCAGAAGACCCAGGCAGCCCGTCTGCCCCACATCTGGGGAAATTAGGTGGAGAATGGACTCCTGGACATTCCCAAGGGCCACCTGCTGCAGGTATGGTCAAACAAGCATCGGTTGGGTAGGAGCTGCTTTGAAATATGTGCATCCCATCTGGTTCCATTCTGGTCACCGGTGACACTAGTTAAGGTTCATGGGGGTCATGAGGCCTCCAAGGATAGCCTCTCCCCTTGTCTTTTCCTTCCTTCCTGCGAGTGGATGGCAGCCTTTCGAGTCAGGTGGGTTGGCTTCACCACAGGATTTAAGGGCATCTCAACAACAGTCTTTCACTGTCTCCCCCACCTCGAAGAACTCAGATGGAACATTTCAGTTCTGCACACTCTTGAGGGATATTTGGCCTTTCTGGCCTATGCTGAGGATTTCTTCAGGGAGGCATTTCCCATTCATTCCTCCCTTCATTCATTCAACAGTTATTACTGGGGCTTCTACTGCTTTCCAGTAACTGCACGTAAAATCATTGCATATGCAGAGGGAAA